AATAAAGTGATTGATTGATTGATTGATTGATTGATCACAGACACAGACAAGAAAAAAATAAAAGATAATATAAATTCAACAATAGACAGTAAAAACCTCTAAACTTTCAAGAGGCAGTCAAACCAATGTTTCCAAAGCAGCAACGTATAACGTACCGCGCTGCACACAACACCGGACAATAAGATAATCACAACATTTTTTAAATTGTTCAGGCGACACACAAACGTAAACATCAAATTTCTCAAGACAGCTTGCAAAGTGTTTACTCCATTTGACACAAAGCGTTCACTGGCTCTTGTCCATCTGGGCTTTTTTAATACAATTCTCAGCGCATCATTGTAAGCAACTGTAAGTAAAGAGTTAAGATGTGTGTGTATGTGGTATTATAACCGTGAGATGACTGATAATACATACACACATATGTTGCTGCAGAACAGTGTGTACAGTTTTGCACTGGTCCAGACCGTAGAGGATTCATGGTCCGAATCAAGCGTATCAGCCGAAAATCCACTGGAGGAATGCTAAATTTTTGAAAAATACTAATGAAGCATTTAGCATTTTACTTTGGACTAGAGCAGAGAAAATGGTCCGAACTAAGCGGCTACTCCACCTTTTGACCTCTACTGCTGTGACTCGTCCTGCTCCACCCAGAGGCTACACCACGTCTTCTGTGACCTGAAGGGCTGTTGCTGATTATTACTATTGTTATCTTTTTAGAATGATCAATTTTATTTTTTATTTTTGCTGCTACTTGACACCTGAATTTCTCCTACAGGGATCAATAAATTATATATCTATCTATCTAAAACAAGAAACCTGGCTCCAGTACAGCACCAATATAAAGTCCCTACATAACCTGGCCAACTCATATCTCACCTGCACCTCAGATCCACCGACACCAACCTCTTCAATCCCATTAGAACAAACTGCCAAACCGTGGGGGGACCATGCCTTTCCCGCTGCAGCTGTCCCCACTCTCAGGAACTCACTCTCACAACACATCAGGAACCCGACTCACTTCAGAACTTCAAATCCCTGCTCAAAACCCAGCTGTTCAAAACTGCCTTCACTGAACTGTTTATCTTAGCTTTTTTATTTTGAACCTGCCCTTTTGAAAAACGTCAGTGAGTGTCAAAAAAAAAGAAACACCATATCAGTTTCAGGACAAACTAACATCTATGCGGGACCATGACTGTCACACCCTTGCAGGACTCTCTGGCTGCTCTGGAGAGAAGTTTCGCAGGTCCTTCCTCCCTGATGCTGTCAGACTGTATAACGAGAACTGCTGAGTCTGTGCAAGTGTCACTGATAATAATTCACTAGTAACTTAGTCACTAGTCACTTTACCTGTTGTTTTTGCATTATTACATATCTATCCATCTGAAATCTGTCATTCACTATAGTCACTTTACCTGCTGTCCATCTGGGACTATTACTATTGTGTATTCTGCTCATATTCTCCGTTGATAAAGTACAACATACACATCTGTAAATACAGTACTTCTGAACCAAGTGCAACCATAGCTCCAGAGTTTATTTTATTTAGTTTTATTCTATTTTACCATATAATTTTAATTATTTTATCTATTATCTTAAATAAGACTTTGTTTGATGTGCGCAAACTGAGGAACTCCAGGAACAAAGATGGCGCCTCGTACGGTCGACATGGCTCTTTGCTGCTCTCTTTTTCTTTTGTTTTTACTTTTTAACTGCGCATCTGGCTGTTCCTACACCCGTGAGGAACTTATGAACATCCGACCCACCGTTCCCATGGACCTATTGCCTGTTTTCTTGGCATCTGCGGCTGATTTAGTTCATGTTCTAGCCAAAAAAGTGTGGGCCCGTAAAAGGGGAAGGCGCGGAGGCCTGCTCGTGCGTCTTAGGAGGAGAGGAGCGCGCACGGCTCTCCCCGGCATTTTTCTCTCCAACGTACGCTCACTGGGCAATAAGATGGACGAACTCAGCCTGCTCATGAGAAGAAACAAGGACTTCGCCACATCCTGTGTCCTCTGCTTCACTGAGACCTGGCTAAATGAGCGGATCCCGGACTGCGCTCTGGAGCTGCAGGGCTTTGGGCTGTTCCGCGCGGATCGCCATTGTGCGCTCTCAGGGAAGAGCAGAGGCGGAGGGCTGTGTTTCTACGTCAATACAAACTGGTGTAACGATGTGTCAGTGATCTCCAAGCACTGCTCTCCTGCTCTGGAATATCTTTTTGGCACATTCATTGTAAACCATGGTTTACCCCCCACGCGAAATTGTTTCATTCATTCTTGCCTCTGTTTACATGTGGTTTACCGCCATGCGCGGACGCGCGCGCGAGGCACAGCGCATCACTCGCAGAGCTTATTTTAAAATTTGTTGTACTATACATATACATATTTCCAGACACACTTTTACAAATAAAAATGTATAACAGCATATAACCGGAAGGGCAGCGCATGAAAAAAGAAAAAAAAAACGTTGATTGTCAGCGAGTATTGTCATGTGACTTTATGTGACCATCTTCATCTTTACATACAAACAACAGCTATACAACTTTTTTAATTTTTTTTTTTTATTACTAAACACACCACAGCAAAAGGACTAAAGATAGCAAGGCGGGTTAAATGCTGAGCCTTTTTGACACACCTGACCATTTAACAGAGACAGCCTATTTGACCCGAGCCCCCTGCTTCTCTGTCCCTGTGATCTGCTCTCCTGCCGTCTTCTCCCACTCATCGCAGCAGTCGTTTGATTTGCAGTCTCACCCTTCCTCTCTGTCTTCTGAGTGCATTTTTGACACAAGTAAAGTCTGTCATGATCTCAACAAATCAATTCCCTTCCGTGTCTCACACTGGCAGAACGAGGCTGGGAAAGGGGAAGCTAAACTCTCCGACCCACCATGTATTCATTATTCATCAAAACAATTTCCACGGCTCCCCTAAAGAAGCGCTTCATGTTATTTGTGAAGATTGTAAAAACTGCACTGCGGCAAATCACTTAAAGAAATAAAAGCAGTGGGATTTTTTTTAAATGATTTGGCTAATTTTGTTAGCTTCTTGCTGCTTCGTCGGCTGGAAGTTGGGGTCAGATGGAGAGCAAATGCCCAGAGGCTTCGTGCCGGTTGGATTTTTACCAGTTTCCAGTTTGGCTCCGGTAGCTGTTAACACTCCCCGTGGTGTTGAGAAGTTAAGAATGTGTCAAACAAAATGTCTTCTCCGCGATCTCGTAAACAAGGGCTTTACACAACAGATTGCTCCATTGTATGTGTCTTAATTATAAGTGTACAGTGTGAATGCAGCAAGCCCAGTCATTTTTATGTATATTTCACTACTTTTTCCATTATGAGGTTTTTTTTTAAAGCAAGTACCGGTTAGATCCTCCCATTCTCGTCCCCACTGCTGCTTCCTGATTGGACAGAATAAATATCAATCAAATAAAGCAATCAATGTGATGCACAGACAATGCCCCTTGTATTTCTCCCCCCTCCCTTCCTCTTAAATATATTGTTTTTGAAAAATAATTATGCGATACTACATGGTCATATGATCAAAAACATGAATAAAAAGTAAAACAAGTTGCAGACATCATCTTTGATTATGTAGCGATGGGGGAACCCACCCAGAACCATGACAACTCCTCATCCAATCCGATTCAGCGCTACCCATTCAGCAATTGTGCCACACTTTTAATTTTGGCTTTTTGGATTATTTTTGTCAGTCTGCTAATTTGTGTTTCTATACGACATACCTGCTTCAGAGCCTCAGAACTCTCGCCTCAAAGATAAAAATAATAAATAAAAAGTCTCGTGTTGGATCCCCACAGTTTTCCCTCCCGCTGCTGCAATTCTTTACTTGCTTTAATCTAAAAAGCAAAGGAACCGCATTGAATTGTTATCATGTGTATATGTTTTTGCACTAGTGTGTGACAATGGATGCTGGTCTACATGAAATAAACCTGAAGAAATGAATGAAGATAATAGTTAAACTGGAATAAAACATTGCTACAGGCCAGTGCTGAGGAATATATTTTATAACTTAGCATCAGCATTACTTGAACGGAAAGAAATCAAGGCAACTTATGTTATGAGTTTGTAGCTTATTAAGAAAAGACATCCTCGTTTTAACCTTAGTATTTCAGATTCAGTATTCCACCCACCACCATTGGAAGACAATTAAAGCTGGGCTACCTTAACGCATTATGATTGTTCCAACAAAAGGGTTTTGTAAAATGTTGTGTACAAGTCAGACCACGACATGCTGTGGTATAAGATCAAAAACATGTCATATTTTGCATTCTTGTATTGAAGAGCCCTGTGAGTCACTATTTGACCCTTTGGACTGCAGACTGATTGGTTGAGTGAGGGTGATTGTCTTTTATTCAATTTCCGTCTCTCTGAAAATGTTGAAATATGTGACAGAGGCTAAGATTCTCTGTATGGATACATGTAAATCCAAACTAGTGAACCAAACTGTTTTGAGAACGGTGAAGTATGGATTCCACACCACACCGGTTTGATATGATAATATGTGTACACTACTTGAAAAACATGTTCAAAACAATGTTTGGGTACAAAGACGGACTTTTCAGGTAGAGCAAATGAAGACAAATTATCTTTTGTCTTTCAAAGTGTAAATGGTCGTTTCAAAAACATTCAATGAAATAAGCAAGCTGCAAAAAGTGATGAAAAATAAGTCACCAATGCTCAAATTTGCGAGAAATGTATTTTAATTTGAGCATATTTTGCCTGCCTTAACACAAGATTTTCCAATGGAACGAGACATTTAGTCTTCTTCAAAATTTAAATTAAACCCACTGATTAAGGCAGTTATTACCTCATATCCTATAATTGTTTGCAGTGCATTTTGTTCTACTATTTATTCCAGGAGATAGATAAAGCTATAGCCTCTCTTTGGCAGGTGCTTAGTCCTGTTTCTGTCCACCCCTCACACATGTTTGTCTCTTGTATTTTCTGGCAGGTTATAAAGGCAGTGGAGGAGAGCTACCGTTTGCCTGGGCCCATGGACTGCCCTGAGGCGCTGTACCATCTCATGATGGATTGTTGGCAGCGCGAACGCACAAACCGACCCAAGTTTGACGAGATAGTCTGCCTGCTGGACAAGTTCATCCGCAACCCCAGTTCATTAAAGAAGCTGGTCAATTCATCACACAGGTAAAACATTGGCGTGACAAGGATGGAATTCACAAACTGATGAAGTAGATGTTACGTTCGGTCAGAAAGGATATCTGATGATAGGATCGAGATTCCTGCGTGGGAAATGCTTAATATGAGTTGTATTTGTGGGTATTGTCAAACTGTTAGAGCTGGATCACATTTTGAATTTGTAACAACAGAAAGAGTATTGTTTAATTCACATTTTCAGGACATATCAGATATTCCTAGAGAACATTATCTTTTACATACAGAGACCTGATTGGCTGGGTCAGGGTGCTCTCTTCTTCACAAAAAAAAACAGATACAAAGATGTAGAGGCAACAATACGTACCTTCCGCCCTGAAGGTACTTATTTTCCGATAATGACCTGCGTAATATACGTTATCCCGCTTATTATACGGCTTTATACCAACAGAACACACAACATAAACTTCAGTACACTTTTAGGAATGCCAAAAGGTTTATTTAATGACAGAAAATAAAATAGTTCCCAATGGCTTTCCCGTGGCTATGCTAGCAACAGTTAGGCTGGGAACTTCCACACTAGAACTCTCTGGAACTGCATGAAAACTGAAAAACTTCCTGGTTTTTCGGGATCGCCTTTTCTCGCATTACATCAGTGTTTTATTCATAAAAACGTAAACGGAAAATTCTGAAAACCTCCGTGCACTTGTAGTAAGAATGTATATGTATAAAGTATTCTCCGATTAACATTTCATTGCGTTGATTGATTGGCATTTGAGTTTATTGAGCGTGGCTAGCTCCGGAGTGGCCGGAACTACTCGTTATCCACGCATTTGAATTACAAGCAGAGAGTGCGTTGCCAAAGGGCAGCGGTCATTATTGTTTTGAGAGGTCCGTTATAGAAAATAATGACCGGTAGAACGTTTTGAAATTACATTCAAATCAATGGAGCGTTCTACTGCTGCTGTGAGGAGCCGTGTAATAAATGCATTTAAAACAAAGCAGTGATGGAAAAGTTTAGAGATGAGTTCAGAGAGGGAGAAATTAGTTGCATGGATACTGTCGTTATTTTATGTGTTAGGTGCTTCAACTTTAATTGTCAGTGTGATATGTTTTTTGTCATTCTAAATCATACACATGATTCATTCACAGATTAAAACTTTCATGCCTAACTTATTTTCCCGTATTACTGAAAATTCTGTTTTCCCCTCCAGAATATGCACTGAAAAGCCAAAATTTTGTGTCTTTGGTCTTGCTAAAAAAAAAAACATTCCATAGTTGTGCTGCTGGCCAAAAATTCCCCAAACTTTGTCAGAGGATTGGGATAGATAGAGGCAAATTAGATGTTAACTGTTCTTTCTCCTCTCGCTGTTGGAGAATCTTCCGCTCTAGCTTCTACGAATTCCTTTTTTTCAGTTCTTAGTCTTGGCCATTTCTCAGAGCACAGCAGCATTCCTACTCCAATAGTTCAAACAAATAGACTTTTAATTGCACTCCCCTGGATCTTAAGTGAATTAAAGCTATGGCTGCCAGTTAATAGGCCCATCATCCTTTAGAGGAGTTGTAAGGGAGAGCACTTAAAGGGACACTCAGTAAGTTTGACTCCCATCTGAGGCTAAAAGCTCAGATTATCAACAGCAAACTTTCAGAGCTATAGCTAATATTACGCCTAACCATGGAAAGAAAACAGAACATTCAAACGCACACTGTTTATAAACGGTATTCTGCCAATTGTTTTGCGGCGTGTCGATTTGTTGTGCGTATTTGAGGCTTGTACCTGAATAAGTTTAGTTGAAACTTGTGGATATAGTTGGACTAATGCTCGTGGGTCAGAACATCTCAAGACCGTGTTGCAGATTCTGCCTCGTTCTCATTACTGCGAGTGTGAAGAAAGTTACGTATTGTTCACGTGTAGGAATGTGCCCGTTGTTTTAACTCTGCCTTTCGGTGAGTGTGGTTTGTGATGTTGACACTTTGCTGTTATGACGCAGGTTTCTAGATTTTTGCATCTTTCTCTAAAGGATTCTTGTTCAGGTAGTTATTTTATATAGCTGTGGTCCTCTATGGTTCCGAGTTCAATTCTCCTGCGATTCACCTTTTTGTACCTTATCAACCAATGTATTTCAAGATGGCACATTGACATGAAGAGTCCTCCAGCTCTCATAAACATTTATAGGTAAAATTCTAAACTCATAACAACAATTCAAAATTATGGTGGAGTTGAATATTCTTTGAAAGGTACAGTTATTTCTGCAGTTATCGAAACCCGATTGTGGCTGATGTGACAGACAGAATGCATTTTGTTGCTCACTTTCTAATATTTTTAATAATGTGGGAAAGCTTAAAGAATGTCATACCTTTAACTATGTTTAGATTATGGTGTAATTATGTTCACACAATGGATGTATGATAAGAGTATTGCAAGCGTAAACTGTTCATAATAATAATAATGAAAATAATAACAATATATTGTGCTTATATTGCACTTTTTTAGACACTCAAAGACGCTTGAATATTTAAACACTATAGTCCCTGAAAAAATATATGTAAAAGTGTAAGAAGGAACGCTACCACAGGGCCTTTATCCCTACCGCTCTCAGACTGTACAACAAGTCACTTTCAGTCACTGCATTAAGACTGAAAAACCTGCACTACTATTGGCACTTCTTTCTTATTGCCACTTTCTAATTGCCACTTTTTGTACATAATATATCCTGCATCAACATGTTTGCACATTTCTTTCTTTTTGCACAATCTTGAGTGTTTCTCTCCATGCCAAATGTGACATGTAAATTTCTCCTGTGTGAGATTAAGAAAGTATATCTTATCTTATCTTATAATCTACATGTGTGGATAGTACAATTTGATGATCAAGAGTGGATTCACAATGTTAATGAAAATATGTGTGATAGTAATGAATGTAGGTGTTATAAATCAGATTGCCTACATGTCTATTTTACATTCCATACTGTACAGGTTTGGTACATTTATACAAACAGTCTCTTACTGACTCCTACTCTATGTTCAGTGATACAAAGACTTTATAATGAGGTCCCAAATGTCATGAACACTAGTAATTGTCTATTTCTGTTTTGACGATGTAGTAATGTGTGATTTTATTGTGATTTCCAGGGTGTCCAACCTGTTAGTGGAGCATGCCAGTGTAGAAGGGGGCTGTTCGAGCAGGACGGTGGGGGACTGGCTGGATTCTATAAAAATGGGGCGATACACTGAGCTCTTCGAGGAGGGAGGCTACTCATCACTGGAGACTGTGGCCCAGATGACTTCTGAGTAAGTCGCTAAATATGATCTGTATGAAGTTGGAGAAAACTTTATGGACAACCCAGTTGAGGCTGAAGAATGGGAAGCATGTTTCGCTAGCTCACAAATAGACGTTGACCGATGTTTTTTTAAGGCCGATGCTGATACCACCACTTAGTTGTTAAAGAGGCCAATATGAATTTTCAATAAAAGTGAAATTACGGTGTGAATTCTAATGATATAAAAGCCAATACTTGACCCATGTCCTTATATCTAATACTACAAATAATATGAAAAAAGAGACAAAGAGAGAAAGAGAGAAAACAATACCCAACCCTAACCTTATCCAAATTGTGACTCTTAAATGCTAATTTGAATAGAAATTTTAACAAAATGTGAATGTTTACAAAAGCTCATTGACTTGCATGGAATGTGATTTTGTCAGCATTTTAAGTTATTTATCCTGAGGGTTCTTATGTCTCCTTTTATTCTGCAATAATGTGTGCCACTATGACATTGACCTTTTCCCACTGAGGGACAGTGGCTCAGTTGGGACAAATTAAAGTTTATACATTTTTACTGAATTAAACCATACTAAACTAGGAACATTTCTATAATAGGTAGGACTGTGCTGTAAGTATGCTGGCACAACTGTTGTGCTGAAATTTGTCTTGTAAATTAATATATAAATTAGGGTACATTAGAAATTACCTTCAAAAGCCCCTTGGTGTAGCCTTTCTTTTTTGTTTTTAATTTGCTCATAGTCAACATATTTTGTGTTGCAGGGATTTACGACGGGTCGGGGTGAACCTTGCCGGGCATCAGAAGAAAATCATCACAAGCATCCAAGAAATGAGAGTCCATATGAACAGTGCCAGCTCCACTGTGAAGATCTGCCCATAGTATTCTATTCATGTACAGACATCCACAAACACATGCTTTGAATGGACCTACAAGACACGGAAGCTGTTGGACCTAGAGCGGCTTATCGAGCACTTTCTTTGGACGAGGAGACGCAGCGTTGTGTTCAGTGAGGCCAGTTTATTTTGGTTGTCGGTCGGTCGGCCAGTGGAACTATGGAATAATGAAGCACTTAAACCAAACTGACTGGTGCTTTTCAAGGAAAGCTGAGAGTGGACAATGTCACGAAAGTCATTTTCTCAATCGTATTGTTGCATTTTGTGTCATTTGAGATGTCTACGTGTCTGCACTGAAGAGATTCTATTTAAACGGTCTGAACACTGAATTTTCCAGCATTTTTTTTGCCGGATCCCGAACAGGAGGTCCACGCAGCAGGCTGAATGAACTGTGAATGCCTGCCTCAGGATGTTCAAAACCTCCACGCAGACACCTTTCTCAGGCAGGGTATATATCTCATTGATCACATAAACGCAGCTTTTGAACTTATTGCCATAAATTTGTGTTGAGCCTTGTTCTGACGTTATTTGACAAATCAGAGACACTTTTTCTATTTCAAAAATTATGACGGGGGGGCAAAAAATTTGCATTAATTAATATTCTAATGCTGTGATCTCACACATACATAGCACCATGAGTGTATAATTTATGTCTACACAATTTAGGATAAACTACAAACTAAACTTGGAACCAGACCAAGACCAAACCAGCAGTGTAAACCAAGCGTAGTCGTAGTGGCACGAGAGGATTGATGTGATGATGTCAGCAACCTAAATTATATATCATTTTAAAAAGAATGTATATTTCCAACCACGGGACAATGTACTGTTATGTTCTGTGAGTATTTTTTTTGAACTATGGTATACAGTCCTTCCCCTTTGCCCTAACTGCAACTAGGAAGAATTGTTGGAGTAGAATAGTTAAACCAATGACAAAGGGCCTCATGGCTTTGAATTCATTTGACCAATCACAAGGCTCATAACTGCAGGAGGCTGTGCAGGTGGGTCTAACCAGGGTTTCTCCTCAACAAAAAGTTTCACTCTGTCTAAATCATTTCAAAAGTAACTAGTATTCAACTATTCTTACAATAGTCACATGTTTTGGAAGGTTTTTTCATATGTGATTTCTTATATACAGAGATCAGCCTTTTAAAAAAAGTTTAGTCTTGACTTTGAATCCTTGAAAGAGCAATACTGAATTATTATTTTAAAGCAATACCAGCGGCTTCTTAAATTGCCATCTTAAATAAGTTTGTCTTATCGGTTCTGAAGCAGTTTACAGGCACCATATCCTATTCATTCTCTTCTTGAATGTAACGTGTGTAACATCTAAGACATTGCCTACGCCCATGAACCCTCAGCCGTCACGTACACAGTCACGTTTAAATCATTTCTGATTGTACCAGAAACCAACTCTGATTATTCACAACTGTATAAAACATCACATGCGTTTTCGAAAAGCCTGGAGGAATTCCCCCAGCTTCCTATTATAAAAATACCACGCTGAAGACATCTCACTCGGCAAGACGCTCTCCCGACACAGCCACAACCCAGATCCAACCAGAGCACACATTATCCGACATTATTTTTCCAGTTTTGGGAAATCATTTGTGACGTTGTGATAGTCCAGGTGGTAAACTCCAACCGCAGTGATGTCACATAAAGAATTGGCGACTCAAAATGGATTACAATGGACTCCCTTCGACGCAGACTTCGTTCATCCGTGCACTAGCATTTTCATAGCCTTCACCAAATTCAGGTATTTCAAGGAACAACACCCACTTTGTCTGACTCACCAACACTTTTATGCCACAACCCAAACAACCTCACACTTCTCTTCAAACTGCTGGAAAACCTGGAGGCAATATCAACTTGATAATCATGTATTTATTTGTACTACTTTTGAAAAATGGTTAGCGTAAAGTGTTTGTGTTGAATCATATTATCTCCGACTACTGAGCAGCTCGGCCTATATGTCTTTTCTGTACATAGTGTAATATATATTTAACGCAGGGAGCATTCTTTTATCTGCTTAGCCATCTCCCAAGTTTAACACAAAAGTCAATGCGATATAAAAAAATATGTCTTTTAACCACGGAAAACGTTTCCCAAACATGTTTAAGTTTGGTTATTGGCCGCACACAAATTTCCACGGCAAATATGTACTATTTTTCATCTGTCTTGTAGCATTTCGATACGAAGCAATACGAAGCATTTGGCCTCCTAAAAACACACAATCAGTTTTAGTATTAATTTGACGTTTTATGATGTTGCGCCAAAAAATAGTGGTTTTGTAAACTTTGAATAAAACCGGGCAAGGTATTCAATGATGTCAACATGCTAACCCTGCGAAACTTTTGTAACTTTGTGTATATTGTTATGAAATCCGAATCGAGCCATGTTCACTATAGGTTCATCACGTTGTTGGACATGACAAAAGATACAGTATAAAGTCTTAAGTCCAAACAGCATTTAGATATATTCCATATAATTGTCTTCTACAGCCAGAGTACTGAGATTGTACAGTTAGTTTTCTAAGTGAAGGAGGCACAGATGGACACTGACATGACTGTATGAAAGCATGAATCGCACACTTAAGGAATGTATGGGGTTGGAGGGATGTGTTGCACTTTTTAACATCCAGACTGTTATAATGGGTCCGAAATATTTACAAATTCAATTCATTTTTTGTTGTCGAACTTTTTAAACGTGGAGACATCACCATCCTGGATACATGCAATAGTACGTTTATATTTTTGTCACACACCAAAAGATAGAATAAGGAGCCAGAATGAATCAAATACTCATTCAAATAATAATAAAAAAAAAATAATAATAATCTTACATTATGTTTGGCAAATGTGAAAGGATTTGACGAAAAGTTATTAGACATAAGAACTATATTGTGTGGCTTTTTGAACTGATCAATTTAAAACTGGGGTACCTAACTTTTGAATCACAGAAACAAATCAATACGTAGTAAGATCCACCTATTATATATGTAAAATGTATAAAAAGGTCAAAATATAAAATGTGTTATCATAAAATAAAGACAGCATGTTGAGTTCCATATTGTTCAGATTTGTCCTTTACTCAAGTAGGAGTAAAAAACCCAGGTACCACAGCTTTAATTGGCTTTTGATTGATCTTATTGTATGCATAAACAGGACCATTATAAATTGTTTGCCTGAAGGAAGGTTTTTGTATATTTTCAAACACTTTGGACGATTTAAGGGTCTGCACCAGTTGAACCATGACCGAGAAGCAACTGTTTTAGAAAAGTCACAGACAAATGCTTCCATATGGTTCTCATCCAAACACCGATTGAACAAACATTTTTGGACAATGGATTAGTCCCAAATTATTTCAATTCCCAATCTAATCTTGACGCCTGTCTCTTTTTACAAGATACAAAAAAGCAAGTGCAGACTGTTTCATGTCCACGCAAAATTTTGGATATGAAAGTTACATAAGTGTGAATTAGAAAAAGCACTGGTGAGACGCCTGGTACGAACGCATGGGAAGTTTAATGGCTTTTACTGGGTGTTATTATTTGCTCAACATAAGCCATTGTCACTTATAGTTATTGAAACTTCCAGTAGGGTGAAATCGTAACCAAATTGCGTGATGTATTTTAGACCAATATTATCTTTTGACCTGCGGCCTGTACGATCGGTGACGAGTACTTCCTCAAAGTGCCTCTCGTAAGCACCGCAACTTCCTTCCCTGGCAAAATTATACATCCCTATTGTGCCCCGAACTTTCAATATGTATATTTTATTTTTCCTGAAATACCTTTGGGCAATAACAAGAATGTCAGACGATATTGGAACTAATTTAATTTGCACTTTATGAAGAATAAGTTGCCCTTTTTATTTAACTAAAATGTTTAAAGGCTGTGTCCTTTCTACGCATTGTTTGATATGTATTAGTTTGTGGTTTTTAATAATCCACAGTTTACAGCAAAGCACAAGTATTGGAAAATCTAGGATAATAAATCATTTCAAGCAAATAAAAAAGTTATTTCTGGTACAAAATCCTGATTTCCGAAGGTGACCACAGGGTTCTAGTAATATAGTTCTGATCATGAAACACATGAAATTTGACAGCTTTTTGCACTGGTTATGATGTTATCAGACTATTTTTCGGTTTTGTGAGAACATGAGCACAACAAAATCAGCAAAGATGTGTACTAACGTCTCCTTACCATCACTGCGCTAACACTGGAGTTTTGTCAGCCTTGCAGTTTCAATGTTATTTATTCTAACATGTAAAACAGTTAGATCTAAAAAAAACTCATATTTGTACATACATAAAGACGTGACTCTGTTTATTGCCAAAAGCTCTTGTTTGCAGGATTGACAGGATTCTATGTATGCAGCAATATTTCTGAGCAAAACCAACATATTGAGTACACACATGCATGACGTGGGAAAAGATAAGAATTAACATTTGATAGATTGCATTGTTTGATAAGACCGTTTTCTTGGGTATCCAGGAAATCCCAACTCGTTACTCATATACATATTTACAGATGAAGATACATCTCTTTGAAAAAACATGCATATTATGTTCATATAATTTTGGTATACGTTTTTTTGAACATCAGGCCTCTACGGCTCAAAGACATTCTATGGGTTGATCACATGTGACGTTGGAAGATAAACTGTTTTCTGAATTCATCGAAAGCACAGTGGACATACATAACTATTGACGTGCTATTGGTTTGTCTTTGAGACTGTCATGTATTGTTTGTGTTGATGTTTTTGTAGCGTGCTAATCAAGATTTATATTTTTGTATTAAAATGTCAAAAAAAACATGATTTGGTTGGATCTTTTTCTCAATTGGATGATGGCATTACACTGCATTTTCACAGCATTAACGTTATTTTAGTCCAATATCTTACTACACATACTTTTAACCAATTAGTATTCACTCTTTTTTGGATTTTCTAGATGTAGCAGCACTGCACTTTTTTTTGTTTT